CCAGACCTCGACCTTCACGGCGATGCGCCTCCTTCAGGCAGTTCGGGTGGCAGCCAACTTGGTCCGGGGGGCAACCAAGGTGACCACCCGGCGGGCCAGGCGGGCCCGACAAAGGCTCCCTTGGAGGTCCTGTGTGACAGGCGCCACCTGGAAGATGCTTACGTGGCCACGCATGGGACCCCGAAGCCGAGGTTGGAGTTCCAAGGTAGTGATGGCTACCTCAAGAAGCAATGGCGCATGATTGCCAAGGGCGAATTGGGCTACATCCCGGCAAAACACATCGTGAGCGCGCTCCCGGAAGAAGGGGGCCCACAAGAAGATCACGGTGGACGGCTGGGACAGGGAGGATGAAGAAGAGGTGAGGAGCCACCCTACATCTCGGCGCCAGCTGGAACGATTGCACCTAACCTTCAGGACGACGCTCCTGATGTGCACGGCAGCACTGCCGCAGTTTGGCAACCTGAGGGTCACCAAGGAGGAGTTGGATGACTGGTATGCCTGGTTCTATGGGGAAGATATAGCCGGCAGGAAACCCCCCCGAGCGACACCACCCTGCTGTTCGCAGAGCGCAATGCATGGCGCAAGATTCACGAGATGGTGCACCAGGGCACCACTCTCTCCGAAGCCCTCAAGAACATCAGGGGCGACTTCCTCTTCTGGCAACGGGAGGTCTATGAGCACCTCAACAGGGCACCGGAGAAGGGGAAGAGCAAGAGCAAGGCACCCAAGGTGTGGCAGACTCAGTGGGAGAAGCCCAAGAAGGGGGGAAAAGGATCCTGGCCCTCGGGGCCGACCCGGTCCAAGCCGAAGGGCAAAAGCGGCAAAGGTAAGTCCCCCAACACCTCCTCGACCCCATGGCCGGACCACTGGGCTTTCAAGAATCCCAAAGGGGTGGCGTACTGCAGAGATCATCACCTTCACAACAAGTGTTCGGGATCATGCGGCCGATCCCACAACTGCCCGGTCAGGAAGGATGGGTGGGTGTGTGATGCCCCCCCATCGAAGCATGTGCCCACACCTTCCCAAGTGACAGGAGGCCACTCAGGGTGCCATAGGCCCCGTGGCCTCTGGTCTCCGATGGGATCACAGGCCACCAGTGCGAGAGTGCACACAGCAGCCAACCCCACCAGAGCCACAGCGGAAGGCAGACAGAGCGGGGGAGGCCAGGACGGCCGCAGGTGGGAGGGGATTTCTCCAGGGTGCCACCGGCCCCGGAAGCCCCTCCACCGAAGAAGAGGAGCGGACCCAGCCAGGGCACTCCAGAAGGGCGGAAGCACCCCTTTCCCCCGCACCCACCGAGGCAGTGGGAAGAACCCCCAGAGAGACCAGGTGAGGATCCGCCCGGCAAGGGGCGTTCCAAGGGCGGGCAGAACCGTGCAAGCAGCAAGCCCAGGGCCAGATGACCGGAGGGTCAGACAAAGGACACACGGAAACCCCAAGGGGGGGCAAGCCCCACCTTCCCATGGATGCAGGACACCCCGGAAAGACTGAGGTTCAGACTAAGGTGGACGCCACGTCCGGTGCCGGAGTCGTCAAAGCCGTCCCTCATCCTGCTGTACGCTGGGAAGGATGATGCGGGGGCCCTACCTCCATGCCTACAACCCGGCCTTCTCGGAGTACATTTGGGCAGTGGACATCAGGCGGAAGGGTGGAGATCTTGGACATGCTGGGAGACGAGCCTTACTCTACGATGTGCTCCATGGCCATGGCGGGCAAGGTCGCCTTTGTGGGGGGCGGCCCCAACTGCAGGACGTGGAGCATTCTCAGATGGTTCCCCAAACCGGGAGGCCCGGCGCCGGTGAGGGGCAGGGCGGAGCAGACCCTGTGGGGCTTAGAGGACCTGGAGCCCCGGGTAATGGAGGACACGGACAACGACAGCGTGCTCATGCTCCGACAGATGTACCTGACCTCGCCTGGTCAACTAACGGTCCCGCAGGTGGGCAGCAAGAGCCCGAGCGCAGCGAGGTGCTCATCGATCTGAGGTCACACGGGCCTACATTCAATGGGCGAACGCACTCCACCACTCCCTCATCAAGTTTGACGAGTGCCGCCTGGGCCAGGTGGTAGTGAAGTCCACGACATTGTCAACGGACCTTCCCCTTCACCATTGGCATGATCTGCGATGCAACCACGGAGCTCACCCCAGGGGGAAAAGCTCAACTCCAGTGACCTCAGGCCGGTATCCAGAGCAGATGATGCAGGGTCTCGCAGCGGCCATCCTTTGCAGAGCGGGACCGTCCTGGAGGCGCTGAGGCCGGGGGGCACGGTGCCCCAGGCGAACCCAACGACCCCCCCGAGGCGACAGAGGGAACCATCTCCCAGCACGCCGGGGGACAACAAGCGCCAGTCCCGGAGGCTGAAGGCCGGCCAACAAGCGTTGGCGGGACTAACCTTGGGCTCACTTCCGGTCTCGGCCTCAGACAATCCGGAGGTCCGGACACCAACACAGCCGGCTGGCGGGACGGTCGAACTTCGGGGTGGAACTCTTTCCCCTGAGCCATGGGCACGCCATTGCATGGAGATCTCGGATCGGCCCACCACCCTGCCGATCACGCACGACCCAAATCTCTCCGACAAGGTTATGTACCTCCAGATGGCCTTCAAACAGCGCCCTTAGGGACGGGGTGGGAAGCCCTCACTTGGACGGCTGGCCCCGTGGACTCGGCCACTGTCCAAAGCAGCAGCGATGGGGGCCAAGATCTGTGTCCTCACTTCGCCATGGGGGGACAAGCTCCAGGAGTCGCTCTCGTTGGGGGACGGGTCACATCCTTCCCGGAGGATCTGCTGGAGGATATCAGGGAGATCCTGGCGCCGGGGGCAGGCCGACCAGCTGAACCCTTCTTCCTGGACATCTTGCACAGCGTGGCGCTGAACATTCAGAACCCCGACCACCAGTTTCCTCGGGATCTGGAACAAGGGGTCGGGGTAACTACCCCTCAGCGGATCACTTCAGTGAGCTCATCCGTGGCACATTCCTGGAGGAGGTCCCCATGGGCATGGTAGCGGGCCCCCTCACCAAGGTGGAGGCAGCAGCGCGCTGTGGCTGCAAGATTGAGGACCTTTGCCTAGGCCCCCTAGCGGGCATCGACGAAGGGGACAAGATCCGCACCATCTACGATGGCTCGGTGGGCGGGGCCAATGACACCATCAGGAACCAGACGGTGGAAAGGACGACGGCTCCGACGGTGCTGGATGGGGTACAAGCTCTTCATTGGCTACATGCGGCAGCTGCGGAGGGACCTCCCTCTCAGGGTGCCCCTGGCCCCGAGAAGGAGGTCGTCAAACCTCCACCCGGGGGCTGGCTATGGCCGGAGCCGGGCACCAGGTGGGTGCTGCTCAAGGCGGACGTCACCAAGGCCCACCGGAGAGTGAAGGTCCTCAGGAAGGACTGGCGGTTCCAGGTGGCTTCACTGGGGGAAGAATGGTGGGTGAACAAGGTAGGCACATACGGCATGGCCAGTGCCCAATCCTACTGGGGACGCCTGGCAGCCCTTCTACTCAGGGTCCTCTACGCACTTTTCCCTCAAGTGGATTGGAACTTCGTCTTTGTGGATGACTTCCTGTGGCTGCTTCGCAGCGAGGGGGCAGTAAACTTGGCGGTGGCGCTGTTGGCAACACTCCTGGCCTTGGGCACCCCGCTTAGCTGGAAGAAGACACATTTGGCGGAGGTCAACACGTGGCTGGGCTTCGTGGTCCACCCGAACATCCCGCAGGTTCTCATGGCCGCCAACAAACACATCCTGGTGATGGAGGTCTTGCAGACCATGGTGGAAGGGCAGGCGATGCACTCAAAGGACATCGAGAAGGCCCTGGGCCGCATCCAATGGGCAACTGCTGCATGTCCGCTGGCGAAGTCGATGCTTCAGCCACTTTGGGCCTGGAAGATGGCCACCACCACGGTGGGGAAACCCCCCAAGGTGGTCAGGATGCTGGCGTTCATGCTGCGGTTCCTCTTCAACACGCCCTTCGTCCAGTACTCCCCTTACTTGCCGAAGTCCTCTTGGTGGGGTTGCAGCGATGCTAGCGCCTCGGACGAGGGACTGGCATTTGTGGGAGGATGGTGCTCCAATAAAATGGAGCCAGAAAAGAAGGAGGTGTCTGGTTCCACGAGCAGATCCACGTGGAAGAGTACCCGTGGGCATTCAAGAATGGGGATCCCAAGCGGAGGATTGCGGCTTTGGAAATGCTGGGCACGCTCTTCCTCTGTAACATGATCCTCACGCACCAAGGCCCTCTGTCCTCCCGGGTCCGACTCCCGGTGGGCAGTGACAATCAGGGCAACGTCATGGCGATGCTCAACCTTGGATCCAAGAAGCCCTACACCGCGGCGATCCTGATGGAGCTGGTCTTCCTGCTCCACACCCATGGCTGCTCGCTGGCGGCCAACCACGTGCCCCGGGAATTCAACCAGTGGGCTGATGAGCTGACGCACCCAGATTTCTCTGGGTTCGACCCTTTGCACAGGGTCCCCAAACAGGAACTCTGCGAGGAGTTCGTTTTTCTCCCGCGTCTCCTGAATGGAGATGCATTTGATCTTAGCGTGGGCCCACCCATGCTCCCGTGACCGGAGCCGGTGGGTGACTCACTTCCCCTGGTGGCAGACCCCCCTGTGGCCTGGGTGCCCCGGGCCAGGGGCGGGCGCTATCAGTCTGCACACCCATTCTTCAGTTTTTGAGAGTTTGTGGTGGGTGGCCCATGGGACCCACCCAGCCGTTGACATCTGACAGGGGAAGATGAGTCCCTGGCACCAACACATTGCTTGGATAAAAGAGTTATCGCATGCTTGTGTGGTGCCGTTTGGTTAGCTTACATACACTGTACTTTGTGTGTACCATGTATGGGACATTCACTGTACCTGTACCGATACAATCTTGCCGTTTACATGGCCTTTTTCACAGTAAGATGGACAAATGGCCCCCTTTGACAGGGTGTGTTGAGGGAACCAACTGGTCCCGTATTGTACTCCTTTCCCTATCGAGTCAGACCCGGGACCCGTTTAGGTGATGGACATCCACAAGATGCAGAGCAAACTTCTGGAGCCCGGGCCTCGAAGCCTCGCGGATTCATTTCACGGGCGGCTTTTTTTGGGACAGCTCGTTGAAATTCCTCGGAATGAGCCACGGTCAACACGTCCGAACATCGGCGCTTTTGAGTCGTGTTTTACATGTGCCCCACCAATCCTAAGGCCCTAAAGACAGAACAATCGGCGCGGCTTCGTTTTTGGAAGCCCCTGAAATCTCCATGTTTCATTGTATGAAGGGGGGCTGTCGTTTTGAGGCACCCTTTGCAGAAGCGGCCAACATGGGGCCTGTTGTGAAAGCAATAGAATCGCAGTGATTTTGCGTGTTTCAGCGCGAAGACAACAGAATTTAGGTGTCTTCTTGTCTTCCACCTTGACTGGAAGCAAGAAACACGAAACACCTCAAGGAAGCACAAAACGACAAAAAACAAGAAACAATCTGGCAGACCCCACTTCCCCCTCAGTATTTGTTTTGTCTTTGTTGGTTTCCTGTTTGTCCTTGTTGCTCCTTGCAATCAAAGGGCACGACCCCCCATTCCCACCTCGACTCCGAAGCACAATGATCGGCTCCCCTACCCCCGAACGGAACGCCCCGCAGGACCCCATGAAGCTGTAAGATAGGGTCTGACTCTGGGCAAAAAAAGGCGGGTTTCATACGGGATCTTCGGGGAGTTAGTTCCTGGAGCTTGTGCTGAGCTCGAACTCTTCCATGTTTGGTTGTTTGGCCTTGATCTCAGTGGCAGCTGCAAAAAGCGCATTTTGGTCGACCTGCCTTGGTGTGTCTTTGGTTCCGAGCTTAGATGTGGACCTTTTGGAGGATCTTTCCCTCGCAAGTGGCTTGGCTTCTCGTGGGGGACTGGGATTACGACGCTCGCGCTTCGCCGCTTCGCCGCTTCGCTTGTCTCCGAGGAGAAAAGGCGTGCCACAGGATGCCACAGGCCCAGAAAGCCGGGGGAGCGCGTTTTGGGAGGCTCGCGACTAGACGACAAAATTACGTTTATTGGGGTTGACAAGAAACACAGATATACATGGTTGAATCATCATTGCTCTTCAGATCTATGTTCCACAGAGATGTATGCAAAGAATTAAGTACTGACATCCCTGCGACAAGCTGAACAGAACGGGGAAGGTGCGTTTAGATGTCAACTTCGGTTTTCCTGTTCTTTCTTGCTCGAAGTACGGTCTTACTTTGCCGAGGCTTTGCAGGCACCATGTTAAAAGGCTTGACAGCTCTGATGGGAAGGTGGGTCTAGGGGGGGATCGCTGTGGGACCTATGGAGTAGTAAGCCCCTGGTTGATTATGTTGTCAGGCATCCACCTCGCCATGCAACCAGACATGAGAAATTGGTTCTTCGCATTATTTTGTGCACCTGGAGTCTCCATGACCCGTAAAAAAGGGGGGCCATGAGCGGTAAAGACCCCATTTTGTAAGGGCCATGGAGACTACAACTAGACCCTTTTCTACCAGGTTTGGTTTTTTTGACTCAGGTGAAGGTGGCGTGTGAAGCTTCCTGGCTGGAGTCGACCGAAAGGAACAGGCTTTGCGCTTTTTTCAAAATCGGGAACCCCATAAAAATCAGGAAGCATAGGGAAACACTCCCGAGTTGTGAAAGGTTCCTGGAATTCTCTTGGCCCAAATGATTCGACAAACATGTTTTTGCAGGGCTGGTGCCGGGTTGGAGTTTGCGCTTGCTTTTAATCAGGCACTCAAAACAACAACCTCAGGCCAGCAAAACCACCTGGGCCCCGCCCACTTTTTGCAGGGATCATGGCTGGTCGGGACAAAAAGAACAACTAGATTCCATTGATTCCGAGAGCCAAAGGAGGTTGTTCAGCGAGTTTGCGCGGGTTCCTGCACTTTATGCCTAGATTGTCCAGGCCTTTTCAGCGAAAACAAGAGTTTGGGACCTTTGCTGGCCAGTCCACTTGTTCGCCGAAGGGAGTGAATCGCGCAGCCCTGGGCCAGGCTTTAGGATGGAGCAGTCGCCCGGCGCCTGAGTTCTGGGTTGGAGATCGCGGCACATGGCCGGGCATGGAGGGAACGGTTCCCTGTAAAAACAAACCATGCCACAAAGAAATGGCGGATGCCCAGGTCTTATGGAGGTGGTTTCCCTGTAAACCCACTTGTTGGGTTAAAGGGGAGCAAGCGGAAGGCACCGATGAATTGAGGTTCCGCCATGTTGAGACAACCCTAAGCATGACAAGCAAGAATTCCGAAGGATCCAGGTAGGCTGTATTTAAGTTTGGCCCAAAAACGCCCACCCGCCTCCCCCCCCCACACACACACACACACACACACACACACACACACACACAC